GCTAGATAGAGACTTCATTACAATTTAATAAAAAAGAGACGCTACGGTTGTGTCACTGACTCTTCTAAACCAAAATGCCGCCCCCTCCCTCCCCTGCCCTGAATTCCCATGACTTCCGTCCATGGCTGTGAGACCTGGGTGATGGGAGTATCGCTCACCAGGGCACCGAGAGCCCGGGTCTCGGGTCTGTGACGCGTAGGCCGTCGGGGTCGGAGGTGACCTGTCAGACCCTTCACCCTCCTGTCTTCCCTCCGACTTGGCAGGTGTGAGTACGACTTGCTGCTCAATGCCGACGTGAGCAGCGCCCAGCACCAGCAGTGGTTCTACTTCAAGGTGGGCGGCATGAGGCCCGCCGTCCCCTACCGTTTCAACGTCATCAACTGTGAAAAGCCCAACAGCCAGTTTAATTACGGTACGAGCTCTGAATAGACAGTTTCTGGATGACAGTGGGGGTGATGCTGCTTGCCGACGGTTCGGGTCACATTCAGAAGCCCCACTTGGGTTCCCAAAGGGGTCGAAGGAGGGAGGGTTGACACGTTTTGGTTGCCAGGCGTGGCAAGACGGCGGGGAAGCTAAAAATCCTCCCTCCGCCTCCCAGGGGACGTGAATACCGCGCTAACACCCCGCCAATTCCCGACCCCCTCGCCCCACCTTGAACTTCTTGAGGTCAGCGAGCCCTCTCATTTATTTAGTTCTCTCCATCTCCCAAATCCCACGGTCTTGGGATGGACTTATTGGTTACAGACAGGCAAACAGCGCAATCCAACACTGATTTACATTCAGAGAAAGCTCTGGAGAAAGTTTACCTTCTCCTGAATACCTGTGCCATTTTTAGAGGAGACATGCAAGGGCCAAAGACTGACTGGCGGTCTGAATTTATATGGAACATTTGCAGGAGTGGGAAATCTTGTCTTTTTGCCGGGTTGTGGACTAATTCGTTGAGCAGCTTTCAGGAAGGAGTAAATGTTCCCGTCTCTCCAGGTCCGAGCACAGGAACTGCCTCTATTTTGTTCTGCTGCTGGAGAAAGAGGAAATAGGGACCTCGACCCTTGTACTCACTCTGTGCGGCTGCTGTGATGAATCGCCACAAACTTTATGGCTTAAAACAAGACACATTTACTCTCTCACGGTTCTGGAGTCCCCAGGCCCACAATCAGTGACACTGGGCTAATGCCAAGGTGTTGGAAAGGCCACGCTCCCTCTGGAGATTCTAGGGGAGTTTCTGGTTTTTTGCTCCTTTTCCAGCTTTTAGAACTACGTTCTTCTCACTCCCTGGTCCCTTCCTGCATCGGCAAAGCCAGCAGCGTAGCATTTTCAAACGTGTCTCTGCTTCAGTCACACCGCTTCTCCTCTGTAGTCTAAACTTGTTCAGACTCTCTTCTAAGGATGCTTGCGATTGAATTTGGGGCCCACTGGGATAACCTCCCCATCTCAGAGTCCTTAATTTAATCAGATCTACAAAGTCTCTCTTGCCATGTAAGGTAATCGTCCCAGGTTCTGAGAATTAAGACCTGGATGTCATTGGGGGCCATTAGACAGCCCGCTACAACAGTTTTGCCCTTTTCTCTTTCCTCGGTGGATTAATCCCGCCTTTGTTTTAAAAAAAACCAACTCTGTATTCTGTGAAGGAGGCTCTTCTTGGCAGGCCCACCTGGATGCGGACAGGATATGAAATCTGTTATTACAAGTGAGTTGCAATAGCGTTGTCTCTACTCAATCTCCTGCTTTTCCACTTTGCTCTTACAAACCTCAGCCTTCTGAGCTTGTCTGCTATACCTGTCACTGTCTCAGCAGCAAATGCGTCGCCCTTCAGAGGCATAAGCATGGTCAGTGGCACTCATGGTGGACCCCAAGAAATAGCTTTTGATTTGCCGAATGGGGTCCATCTTCACGTAAACACATTGCAACCTTGATGAGGCCGTGTTGGACATTAGAAGTTGTACGGACTCAACTTGTGATTAGTGTATCAAGTTTTAGTTCTTTACCTCTTTCCATTTTTTTCCTGGTGAACAAAAAGTCTGAGAAGTCCCAGCCTGTTCTCGCCCACCCCATGCTTCAGTTTTCCAGAGCAGAGTGGGTATGCGATAAATCACATTTAGGTCACTGTTCCTCCATAGTAAGGTGATTTGGAAAAAGGCAAAAGAGAGACGGTCTTCACAATTCATCTTCCACACTTTATCAGTAGCCATTTTCATCAGTGTAACATATAAAATGATAATGAAATTTAAAGTAGCCATATCTTTCAGTCCAAGAAATCCAGACCTGTGAATTGCTGACTTGTGCTTTTTTTTTTTTTGATGGAAAATAAGATACCAAAAATACTGAAAATCAGACATTCTAGCATTTAGGTTGTCATCAGTATCACAGAATGTATAGGCACTTACGCTTCTTGGCCTTTGAGGCCAGGAGGACAGGAGCACCGATAGACACGAAAGGTCAAGAATAGAATCAGACATTCTAGAAGTTAGGTTGTCATCAGTATCACAGAATGTATACGCTTCTTGGCCTTTGAGGCCAGGAGGGCAGGAGCACCGATAGACACGAAAGGTCAAGAATAGTTGCTCTATCAGACCCAGAGGTAGAAATCGCCACAGAGGTAACGGTCTGCATGACAGAGCTGTGCTGACCGACAGTTTATAATAAAAGAGGTGGCAGCCTACAGTCCTTGATGGTTTGGGACATGGGCCTAAGTAATATTTTGATTCTATTCTCTAGAACAGTAGCAAAATATTGCAATGTCGTCGGTTTTCCATTCACCTCTCCGGCAATGACTCCTCCGGCCTATCTACTTAGAGACTCTGAGGATCTTTCTGTGGTCCAAAGAGATTTAGACTAAAAATCACCTCAAGGTAATAGAAGCCACAGCTGCAGGGGAAAATAACAAAAGCCTGGATTTGGACGTTGGTGTGTCAAGAACGGCTTTTCGTGTCCTCTGAAAAGAGTAACCTTAAATAAACATGAAAGACCCCACTTGCAGCCGGCTATGGATCTGGAGCTTAGTAAGAGTTTGGACAAGCCTAACATTTAGCATCCTTTCCCGGCGGGGCATAGCTCTTTCCGGAGGCTGGCCGTCTTGCAGGTGGAGGATAAGGAGCAGGCTTAAGGGGATGGATTAAGCACCTGCAGAAAGGAGAAAGAAGACGCCTTGCATCCGAAAAGCACAGCCTTGGCCTAAGGAAAGCCAGTGCTAACTTTCCGAGCTCTCGGATTCATTAACAAGGCAATCGTTATGTGATTAAGGAGGAGCAGAGAGGTGGCAGAAGTCCGTGAATGTATAATGGAATTCATTTCTCACATTCCGGCCACGCATACAGCCGAGATAAATGGATGAGATTGCTACCTCGTTGCGCGGTCTGTTTTACGATTCCTCACCGCGTGGTGTTAATATAGTTCCAATACAGTGATCTAGAGATGGGACCGATCCATGTATGTCGACTCCGCCATAAACCAGAGCACCTTTCCTACTGCAGAATGCCTCAGAGTCAACACTACACCGCTCCCTTTCTACCCGTCGCGATCCGAGTCGATTTGCCCTAGAAGATTTCTTTGCTTCATCTCTGCCTTTTTTCTCTCCCCTGGGAGAACTTTACCTCCTTATTTGTCTTCGCTATATCATCAGGAACTCAGAAAGTTCTATTTCTATCATGCTGTGCAATTCCCAGATTTAGTGCCATGTTCTGTGCTGGGATGGTCACTGTGGAGAGAACCAGGGGCCATGGTCCCCGAGTTTGTCTACGGAAGGGTGAAGGAGAAGAAGATAGAAAGAATGGAACACTCGTCTCCCTCAAAAAGTGACAGCGATGGCCTGTGAAGGGGGCGGGCTAACTGCTTTGTGGGTCCTGTCATCAGCTAGAATGCAGCCTCCAAGCTATTTTGCTAAGCTATTATTTATTCACGAACTTCTCCCATAGATGTGTTTATAAATTATTTTTTGATCAGTTATATACGCATTACTATACTGATACATTGTGTGCAGTAGGAAACACGCAAAAGGTTAAGGTTTTTAAATGATGAGAAAAAGATGAAACAAATAATCATTTTAACCGTTTACCTCATTGTCATGTGTCAACCGTTGGGCAATGCAGGGGTAGGGGGCACTATCTCTCTGCCTAGTCAAAAATCCACGTATAACATTTTTTTTTTTTAGGCAAGGCAACCTTTAGTTGACCTCACAGATTGCAAGGACCTTGTCAGCTTATAATCCCTTATTTTTTATTTTATTTTTTATGCCTACAGCACCTGGTCTTCCTAGGTGGTCTCTCATCCAAGTACTAACCAGGCCTGACCCTGCTTAGCTTCCAAAATCAGACGGGATCTGGCTTGTTCAGGGTGGCATGGCTGTAGACTAAATATCCACGTATAACTTTTGACTCCCTTAAAACTTAACTGTTAGCCTACTGTTGACCAGAGGCTTTACCGATAACATAAACAGTTAATTAACATATATTTGAAATGTTACATGTATTATATACTATATTCTTATAATAAAGTAAGCTAGGAAATTAAGAAAATAATAAAAGAAAGTACATTTAAAGTATTTATTAAAAAAAATTGTGTGTAAGTGTATGTACACAGTTCAAATTCTCGTTTAAGGGTTAACTATATTTTTATATTGCTGATAACTCAGGGCATATAACCTTAGGGTTCAGCATGAAAAAATATAATGTAAATAGTCTTTTGGATAATTTTGAAAATCATTGGTTAACTTCCCAGATCTGATTAGATTATTTTTATATAAGTAAGAATTCTTGAGAAAGAGCTGGTATGAAGAGTAAGGTAGGGCATACCCATTCTTCCATTTTCTTGGCCATTTCTACTTGAAATAATACCATTGTCATTCTATGACTTCTAAGCAGAATTTTAAAAATTGTCTATATTGCAAGGTTTGGTTTAGATAAATTAGTGTAAATCCACTAATCTAGGCTTCTGCAAACTTAAATACCTTGCCAGAAGCTAAAAGCAGAAGAATGTGGTAGCGACCTATTTCTACCCCTCCTTTAGGGAGCCTCCTCCCATACAGCAATTGATATTTAACTACTTGACGTATGAAACCCGTAGATGCGAAATGCAATGTGTTTTTCATATCCCAACCTTGGAAAACAACAGAGAAGAGGGGGTAAAATGGCTGTATCATACTCTAGTTTGTTTTGTAATTATTCACTACATCATATTGACATGGGCTGTGTAAGGCCAGCGGTGTTAATCCCCAGATTAAACCTTAGATAATTTGTTTCTCATTACCTAGATCCTAAGAAATTTAAAGAGAAATTCTAGAACTTTCTCCATGTGCTCAGTGGATCCTCCTGCCCCTGTCCCACACCCTCACCTCCTCCCTCTCCCCCACCCACCTAGCAGCCCACTAGGCCAGAAAACACAAAGCAATCCCTACAGGGAAGAACGTTAACGGGCAGGCTCAGTTTTTCACGCCTCTCATGAAAGTAAGCAAAGCCAGTCTTCGTTTCTGCCTGACTTAGTCCCCTGCGGTCTGCTTCTGCAGGTACCATACGCCTTTGCAGAGTCCCTCCCAGCTCCGGGCTAACCTCATTTCGGTGCTGAAGGGCAGAGGGAGGGTGACACGCTCGGTGTGGCTGTGTAGTACTCAGCGGCCGGTCTCTTGGTCTCTTCTGACATTTATTCTCCGCCGGTGAGAGGAGATGAACAGCTCACTCATGAAGATGAATGTCATACAAGAGCTCGGCCATCATGCCTCCTTCCCAGGGATCTCAGGAGAGAGATTGGGTGTTATGTAGATGATTAGAGACACCGCAGACACGGGGGAGCCTGGCGACTTGGTGGTTCCGCCCTACCAGGCCCCGTGAAGCGAAGCGACGCACCCTTGTTAAACACAGCCATCGTCATTGCAAGATTACCTAATTACTCTCTCTCTTAGCATTTGTTTATTTCATACACACAGAGGGGGAAAAGAAGACTTCCCAGCATATTTTTAAGTACAAACAGAAATAGATTGAGTATATAACTGCATTTGTGTGCTTTGCTCCTTGCTTCACTGAAAGCTTTATGATTATGAAAGTGCAGATCATTCTGAAGATAAATGGTTCAGGGGACAGGAAAACAAAGAGGAGGCTTTTCTCTGTAGGATGGCTGGATGTCTGCCATCTCAGATCATCTTTGACCCTAGATGACCTGCCTGTCTGGGTTCCAGCAAATCAAAGATCACATTTGATTTCACCAGGCTTCCCCCCGACCTTGGGAGAGCATCTTGAGGAGAGACAGTGCTCAGAATCAAACTTCTACCACTCTTCAATGGTGTGGCCTTGGGAAAATTATCCCAGCCTCTCTCAACCTCAGATTTCTCATCTGTAAAACAGGGATAATAATGGCATCGACCTAAGAGAGCTGCTCTGACAATGAAATCAGGTAAAGCACACGGAAAGCTTCGAACAGTGTCTGGTGCATAGTAGGTGTTCATGAATGTTAGCAATTATTATTAATAACTAGGAGAAACACTTTACTGGCATCACATACCAATGACATAAAGAATCATAGTGATATGGATCAATTTCGTCGGTTCTCATCTGGATTATTTTGCATTCCTTCTTTTATTTTAGACTTTAAGTTTATAGGCAGTCCTGATTTATGAAGATGAAAATTTCAAATTCTCGCTTGATGAATTGGGCCCCAAAACCTCTGGTCCATTCTTAAGAGAGGTGATGATGATGATTTTGATAATAATAATAATGATAATAATAAATCTTGATTTTGAAGTAAGCCCACTCTTAGAGTTGAATCCTGCTTACTCTGCCTGTTGTATGGAGCTGCCCAAGACATTTCACACCTGTGACCCTCCATTTCCTCATCTGTAGAGTGCGTATAATCCTTAGCTTCAAAAGAGATCATTACAGTTAGAGATAATATATCTCTAACTAAGCGTCCTAATTATTACTCCTGGCGTCTTAGGTCCATTTATTCTACACACTTTAACAGAGCAGCTGCTAAGTTCAGGTACTGTGCCAAGCATGAAGATACGCGAGTAAATTAGCATGATTCCTGCCATGAAGTGTTGGCAGTGAGGGAGAGACACGGTATGATACGTAAGAACTACGTGAAAGGGCAGAGACATCAGGGAAGGCTTCCCGGAGGAGGAAATGTTCAAGTGGAGTCTTGACGGAAGATGAGGAGCTGGCTGAATGAAGAAGAAGGAAAGGGATTTCCATAAAACAGAAGAACAGGGGGACCATTTAAAACATGAAAGATGAATGTGACTGTCTTGCAAACATCCCTCAGTATGTTCACATAAGAACCAGGAAAACAAAAATAATTTGTGGATGGGATCTCACTTTATGGTGGACAAATTGAATTGTAGCAAGCCAAGTGCTTCACTTTAGGGACATATCAGGCATTTCCCGTTGAGGAAGGGGATCTTGGGAAAGTTTAAAGGTCTCTGAAGAGGGAAGTTTCAGGGGTAGTAGAATCATTTCCTGGATCCTCCTGTTCTAATACGGCCACCAGGAAGGTCAGTGGGGAATCCCGACATTTGTTTTAGGTCCAGCTAGAGTTTAAACCCCAAGCCAGGGTGGTGACTGCATCTCCTTTAGCTGAAACTCATCCTGGATGAGAAATAGCCGCAGTCTGCAACCACCCTGAAACAGGCTTATCAGAGGAGAGCTTTTAGTCTTGGCCATGAGAAGTGGCCTGAGTGTGAGTGTGTGTGTGTGTGTGTGTGTATGAGAAGGTAGATTTCATAGAGATAAAACTACCATTCACATTTCTTACACTTTCCTTAAATCACTAGCACCCGGGCTCCCAGAAGCTCAAAAGTTACGAATGATCCCATTTTCTCTCTCTCTCGATTTTACTATAGCTGTTCCTCGCCTGGAGCCCAGGTTCGGTGTGAATGGCAGGAAGAGCAAAGAGATGGGGATTTCACACCCTCACTTCCTTTCTGTCGTGCTCTCTCCAGTGGCTGGTGGGGTCAGGTCGAGTTTGCTTAGTGTGCACGTGCCTGTGATTTCAGTGTCCTTGAGAGTACAATGGGAAACCTAAAAAAACAGCAAGGCTCCTGTCCAGTGAGACCGTGCCCACTTGCCCTTGGGGGCAGCTCTTAACCTTAAGGACAGGTGCCCTTCATTGTTTGCAAGAACTGGGCGATGGTGAGGCACTAGATGTGTTTCCATCTGCCTTTACCCTCACCTGGTGTGTGTGTGTGTGTGTGTCTGTGTGCAAGTGTGTGCTCCCATATCTATGTTTACAGGTGAAACTCTTCCACGCTTTGACCATTTTGACAAGCTCATGTCATTTTGGTCGGCTCTTCCATTGTGGGAAGGTGTGATTGGCTAGGCTCATCTCGGTGTGAACTGAGGATGCATTTGCCGGTGGAGACTTTATGAGTGAACTCAGAAAGAGAAAACAGATAGAGCATATGTGGCTTGCAGGCTTTCCAAACTCCCACCTGCTTCGTTACATACGTTCCGATAACCAGAGCTTTAGCTCAGGAGAAACTACAGAATGTTGGAGGAATCTGGAGAAAGTAGACTCAATTACGTATCGAGATTGAGATGGCGCCGTAGGTGAAGATGCCTTTTTGAAGTTTCGAGTCCTATTGTCACAGAAGAAATGGGTCCCATTAATGTGATGCTGAACAGCTGGGTGGGGTGGTCACTCGGGGCTCACACCATTAGGGGGCTTCCTTCTCTCCCTAGAATGACCCAGGCTCCAGGGAGCCATGTGGGAAGAAACCAAGGCCAGAGAAATGTATCAGGCCATAGTCCGTGAGATTACCACGCTCTTTTACTCCCATTTCTAGTTTTATAAATGGAAAATAACTGCAAAACTCTCGTTTGCCTCTTTATTTTATTTTTATTTTTTTGCTTTGGCAGGGGTGGGTGGTGTGAAGGTAGCAAAAAGTCAGAAAAGAATAATCCATATTTTTTTATATGTTGAAAGAGCACACAGAATAATTATCTACTTCTTCCCTCTCCCCACCCTTTCCCCCAAGAAGACCCCAACGCACAGTGGACAAGTAAGCCAACATTAGAAATGTTCGAAGGTGCAACCACATCTTTTGGTGCCCATGCGTATTTTGCATTACGATGCGGGCTTGATGATAACATGTCGCGGGAAAGCCTGCACAGCTGTATCAGCATCAGCGGGAATGGCAAGAGCATATTTGGCAGCGTGTGGGGAAAATATTGTGCAGACTGTACTTCTGGGGGCAATTTACTGTGATACTGTTCTCTGAAGTCTCAAAATTGATTCTACATCTTTGACAAAGGGAAATGTGCAGGCTCCAGCTCTAAGAAGCCGAGCCACATTTGGGGTGAGAAGGACATCCTGTTGGGAGGATTCATTGTGTAGTGGAAAGGACAGAGACTTTGCAGACAGATCTGGGTTCGAGTCCCATATTAACCTCTTACTAGCTCTGTGACCTTTGACAAGTTAACTTTCCGAAGCCTTTGCTTCTTCATCTACGGAACGGGTCATCGCAGGGATAGCGTGAGATGGCGTATGTTACGTTTCGAGTTGGAACTCGACATATAGTGGTGATTGCTAATAAGCCCACCTGGCAGGTGGAAGGGGAAGGAAGGGCTCCGCTTTGTGGTCTAGGGAGCGGCAGAGGTCGGGCAAACTCAGATTTGAGTAATAAAGTATATGTCTGCAGTCGAATCCCAGAAAAAAACAGAATGATCCACATTTTCCTCTGTTTTCTAGCTCAGTGACTCTAGAGCCTCATTTTTAGACACAGCAAGGAAAGGCCTGTGGCATCTCTACTATAATTAGGAGCCAGATGGACCAGTCTAGATGCTGCCGATTTGGCTCGTGACCTGGCAGTAAGCGCACTTGTCCATGTCTCTGTTTTCTAAACTTCTCCCACATCGTGTTTCGAATAAACATTTTGCCCGCGTGTAACACAAGAGCTTGATAGCACCTGGGTCCCCACACGACTGTTTCCCCCGCCTCTCCCTCAGTCTCCTCTCTCCTCCTTTCTCTTTCAGAAACCATTATCGGCAGAGTGCAGCCGTCACGGGGGCAGCGTCTGGGAAGTGTTATTATACCCTCACCTTCACCGTCACCTTCCCGCACAATGAGGATGTCTGCTACCTGGCTTACCACTACCCGTACACCTATACCACACTCACGGTAACTTCCGCTTTACAGCGTCACCCCGGCAGGCCTGGAGGGGCTCTCTGTCGTCGTCCCAGAAACATTCAGGAGACCCTAATTCCAAGGGAGCCAGAGTTTGTCGTCATGGCCCGTGGCATTCTGAAGGCCTAAGTGGCATGCGGTGCTTCTCAATGGCGGGTTGAGTGTAGGAGGCAGGGGCTCTATCTTTAAGAAGCCCTCAAGCAGTGAGATTGGAGTGAGGTTAGCAGGTTGACATGCGGCAAACGCGTCAGGTAAGCTGAGGTACACATTGAAAGGATGTGGACTCACCGAGAGGAATCGAGCATAAAGCATGGAGATAGAAAGCTTGGAAAACCTCCCTGAGTCTGTGAGCAAGCAGTCCCGTCAGCTTTCTGCTGGTCCCCATGGGATCCAGGGTGGACGAGAAGAGTGGAAGCATAGAACACTGAGTGACTGCCAACGAGGGCCTTGATCATTATGTGGGAGGAACATGGTATAAGTCAGTCCGAACTTGAAGACAGTGTTCCGTGTTCTCTCAGGCCCTGCAAAAGGGTCACAAGACAAATTGGAGCTAACTGCTTATACCATGGAGTTTTCTGTCATTCGAAGAAGCTGGCAAACCATCCCCTCCCTCTTTCACCTAGCTATTTCATGATACCCTGATGATTAATGAGCTAAGCATCTTCTATGAAGCTCTTTCATCCTCTATGTTAATGCAAAATGTTATTAGCATATTTATAATCATGGGTGTACCTATGAGTGTATAGACATCACTTAGCCTGAAGGATGAGCATTTTCATTTTAAATCTGTGATAAGGAGTTGGGAAAGATAATAACCAAGAATGTCTTTGCCTTCAAAAGGAACGTTCAGGTACACATGAAAACTTTTTCTCCATCGAGAAGGCACATCGCAAACCACTTGGCTCACAGCTGCATGAAAACGCACCCGCCCTTCTCTGCACATGTTGTCTGGCCTAAAGACCGATCGTCACTGTTTTCCAGATTGCAAAAGATAACACGACTAGTTTTATTTGTGTGTCACAGTTTGAGATCTCAAGAAGTGAATCCAAGAAATGCGTATCACAAGCGAGGCCATAACAAGCCGCGTTTGTTATAAGGGATGCTTATTGCCGCGTTTGTTATAAAGGATGCTTATTGCTTTTCGGGCCCTGGAAGAGGCAAGAGTCATAATCCCTTTCAACAGCTGTTCTTATTGTCTCACCTGTGAAACACCACGAGGAAGTCAAAGGGGGACGATTCCTGTCTGAATGCATGTTTGCCTTTCCCCTTGGGGTGTCATCTAGTCAGGCTGATGAGAAGTCTGAGTCTCCTTCAGCCAGGCCTGGAAGGCATCTGAATTCTTACTTTGAAGTTCAGATTTTGAATGAGCAGTGTGTGCAGGCACTTAGCAAGCACCCATCAGAACAGCTTGGGATAAGAACCCCTCAGGACACGTTTGGGGAACAACACTATCCAGCTAAACCACCTCCGTGATACTCACGCTTATCATTACAATCCATGGGGCGATGACTTGAACTCAGCCATCAGAGATCCATTACATAATCACACAACTCAATGACTACATGTGCCAGTAAAACTGGACTTCGGTTGTAGTAGCTGTTGTTTGTCATAGCTTGTGCCTCTGGGATCCACTTGCCTTTTGTGGTCTTGTCAGAGCAGAGCACAGGGTCTGATGTTTACAATCAACAGATAGCTTAGAAGCCGCTGGGGTTAATGAGGCAATCATTTCGTCTTGATGAGGGACAGAAACACAGGAAAAGAGGGCTCCTCTTCTGGTCACTTGGCCTCAATGAGGAGAGAAAAGTCTTATTAATGGATGCTCATTGGCTTGCTACTTAGCCTATTGACTGTGAATCTCTTCCCCCTAGGGACGTTGGAGGAGGGTTAATGAGAAAGACAGGAAAGCGATACATTTTCATTTCTCCTAAATGAGTAGAACCGAGTAAGAAAGACAGTTCGTTACTTGAAAGTGAAAAATGCATGTATTCAGTTATAGGTTTTGCATTTCCAATAACGCATGGTCTTGTACTCTATAAGGTTTAAGACAATACTTGACTCTGTGACTTCTCTTAAGAAATCCTTCCTCCCGTTGTGGACAGAAGAAGTACGTTCTGTTAATGCACTCTAGTCATTTTTATTTTTGAACATGTCCTAAGGAGAAACCATTTTTCTTCCAACAGATCAGTGATAAATTCAATGTGAATAATACCCCAAGGGCAGAATTAACTGTATGATACTTGGGGGTTATGCGGAGGGGTGGAAAACGCATTCCTACGTCGAATTCACAATTTGTAAATCTCTTATAATGTGGATTATGTTTAATCATGACAGACATTTTCATAGCAGAGGACATGTATGTTGGATGTTTTTCAACTTGGATGTAATTTTGCGGCTTGAAAAATGTTATTCTCTTACGATAAGAAACTTAGTATTTCATTCTTTCAATTTGATATTTTCCAGATGCTTGCCAGGAGCTTTGTTGGATAATTATCCAAATTAGAGTCTTAAAATAAAGCTAAAAGAAAGAAATACAATATTATTGTAATTATGAAGCAAGCAGAAGAATTCTATTGTAGTCATCCATATCAAGCTATCAATAATTGCAATAACCGTGTAAGTGTTAACAATACTTGTTAAAGTATTTGGATTATGTTATGGATTGCCCCTGGAAAGCCAGTAGTATTGGTTGAAAATAGGACACCAAGAGAATTTCTGACGGACATTTTAGAGGGTAAGACAATGAAGTCTCACAGAACTTACAGCCTTATGTGTTGGCCTGAGACAAGAAAAGTGATCATAACTAGGACCCATATGTTGAGAGAGCTTAGGACTCAGAGGGTGGAGTAGGGTTTTTCACCAGACATATTCCTACAGTGGCAGATGCTATCGCCGTCACCTTTAGAGATGAGATGTTGTGTGGGGTAGGGAGAGAAGGAGAGAGAAAAGGAGGGAAAGGAGAGAATTAGATCGTATGCACAATCGCTCACAAAGGGCTCAGAATAAATAAAGAGTTTAAAATGTGTCAAACATTTGGAAGTGTTGATTTACATGAGGTGGATCAAAGATGCAGTGAGCAAGTCATACGTGAGTGCTGTCGGGCAATCAACAGGCAGAGACCTGTCCTCGAATGGGCCAGAACAAAGGGCAGGCACCAGTAGGGAGGACCGATGGTAACAGGTGAACGTAAAAGGCCATTCATTCTGAAGAAGCCGAGATGTGTTGAGTGGAGAAGTCATCGACTACAAGGATCCCTGAATTCAAGGTCTTGAACACAATGTAAGAACAAGTTCGGAGTCAGACAGGCCTGGATTCGAGTCTGAACTCTGGTGCTTTCTTGCTGTGTAGCCTCGGGCAAGCGGTTTAACTGCTCACTGCCTCCGTTTTCTCATCCGTAAAATCGGACATATGAAAGAACTTACTACGCGGGTTGTCGTGAAGATTAAATACCTCGATACGCGGGAAGTATTAGCTAGGTGTCTCTTTCCAGTAAGCCGTACCAGATGATTGCCCTTAGAGTGCTGATTCTTTTTTTCATGATGATGTGTGATCATTTTCTCCGCTGGATTTATCGAAAGGTACCCATTCCATAATTTATAATAAAATTAAAAGAATGTAAAAAAGTCCAAATAAAGGACAAAAAAGAAATACAATGGCTACTGGTGGTGGTCTTAGGGCGGTTGATTATATATAATTTTTTTCTTTACTCTCCTTTCCAAATCATCAGCCATATAACTTCATTTATTTTTAATGGAAAAGGGTATTAAAATCATAATCTTTTCTTTCTGATCAGCAAATCTGTGAGTAGACACCTAGAGACTAGTTATTTCTCCTGCTTCTTAAATCGAGTCCAGTTAACGTGGGGAGAGTGGTGTTGGCAGATTGAGACAGTTTGAGGAAGCTCATTAGAACCTGCTTCCAGCATGTTCTGTCACTTTTATTTAGTTTAAAGGTGTCATTTGTTCTCTTGTTACGAGAAGCTTCCGATTCTCTGATGGGCGTATTCAAGTGACAACTGAGCGCTAGTCAGTACACAAATAAAATAGACCCTCTCCTTAGGGGTGAGCTTTCTCCTGAACGAGGGGGACAGAGAGTGAGGCAGATTAGGAGAGTAACAATAAGACACGATTTCTGAGTGCGTAGCGCTTCTCACTTTATCAGTAGCTACCAGCAGGGGAGCTTGCTGAGGTCAAGTCAAGTCTTTTGTGGACGTTTTAAGGGAGTAGCCGATAAAGGACAGGGGCAGGAGACTGCTGTGACGAGGCACCGGCGAGGCTGCCGGAGAAGCAATATCAGCCCGATACCTTTCATGGACAGGTAGAATTATCTTTTAAGAAGACAGCCTCTCTGGGGGTCTCCATAATTGCCTTGAACTCATTCCCATCTTTATAAAGAAATCCACCCCTGTGGCTTCTGCAGGGCTGTAATTACGGTTGGTTGTTGGTAGCTGCATTCAGGCTCCCTGCTTCCCTGCTCGTTGATTCCAACAATAGCCAATTAGACACAGTCTTGCTGGACCGAAGGTGGTAGCGTTCACCTCCAAGTCGTTTTCAGGAGGACAATGCGAAGCCCTTCTTGCAAAAGGAAATCCAACGGTTTATTTCTAGACGTTTTCTGTATGACGGGAGCAGGGATAAAGAGTGGAGGTGGAAGGTATTTGGCAGCAGGTAGAGAGGGATAAAGAGTTGAATGGCCGTGTGAACAACTATCTTTTTACAGCAAACGAGCTTACGCTGAAAGATGTTAGGCGCTTGAGTTGTAATCTTATCAATCCCCCCAAAATGTAATGATACAATTAATAGAGATCTCATAGAAGAAAACTTTCAAACTTGGCTTCCTCCTTCATTTGCTTCTAGGGAGCGCGTGAAGGTGACACTGTTTTGAAGGACAATGTTCACGGGTTCAGTGATGCCTTTTTTGACTTGTTCCTCTCCTAGCGAATTGTGCTTGATGATATCTATGAACAAACCTTCCTCTGAGCCTGCCTTCAATGCCGA